TCTCTCCACCTCTTCGCCCGAACGTTTTTAGGCCCTTCATTCTTCTGCCAATGTTTGTGGCTTGCTCTTCCTTCTCACTTTGAATCTGCCATTCCTCAATCCCCTTTGGGCATCTCAATTCAATCTTCCCATAAATCCTTCCAAATGATCTTTCCTTGCTGGTGCGGAAAGTTCACACGGAAGTGAGTCACGTTAGCCAGAAGGACTGTTTTTTTTTTGTTTTTTTTTTAAATATAGCATCGGTTGTTGCTTTGACTCACTCAATAAGATGGGGAATAAAGCAACTGCGGTGGTGGCTTGAGATATGAGAAACCCCGTTTAAGAGTCCTTCAAGATACGAGCCATTGATACGCCGATTGGTGGCTTTGGCTTGCTAGTGCCAACATGATTTAAATAAATAAATAAATAAAAACCTTTATGGACAGATGACTGACTCACTTCACAACAACTGGCAGTTTGCCAGATAATGTTCGTAAATCTTGTTTAAAAAAAAAGAGGCTTCAAGCTATTATCATTCTCAAGGTTATTCTTAAAATAAACATGAAACAAAAGAGGATAACTCTGTGTATTTTAAAACAACCACATAGCCGCCGCGATCTTAATGCTAGCATACAATGGGAAACAGGGAGGCTGGGGCGGGGAGAGGGGTTAGCATGAAGTGCAGGCAGAGGCCGTGCGAGTGTTAATCCTGAGATCAGTGCAACACACAATAACAAACCCGCAGTCCTTAAGCAGCAGTTAGAAGATTTAATGTTACTGGAGTTGCAGCTTTGTTTTGTGCCTGAAGGCAGAGCTTTCCAGTGACAAAAAGGAGCCGTGGACTAGATAGCAAGCACAGCTGGTCGGGTGACTCATACGGAATGTCTCGAAGCCGCCATGCCTAATATTCAGTTAAATGTACAGTACGGCACATTACGGGTAAGTTATAAAATGTGCATCAATACATTTATAAAAACAAACAGTACCTAAAGATAAATGCAAATTGCCAATAATAGCATATCATTGACTAAAGAAAAAAATCGTACTTGTTAAAATCTGATGATTCAGACCACTAATTGCAAACTGATATATTTTTAAGTATTGTTAGATTTTTTTACTATGCATAATTGCCCTATGAATTTTTTTATGATTATTTTTTAAAATCAAGTCCAAATGTCACTTGGTGGTTGTTCCAAAAAATGCAAAAGGAACCTGCCAAGAAGTGATACAAAGCAGCAGTTCAGACAGCAACGTAGCAGCTGAGATGCTTTCTGAATCCTAATGTTGACGGGACCGGCAAAGGACACAAATACAAACATTTGCACAAAAATACACAAATGCACAGCAAAAGACAAGCACACAAATACACGCCTGCAATATTCTTCCCCCCTCCCAGATAAACAAATGCCTCAAAGGCTTGTGTGCTTTTCTTTTTTTACTGCGTACGTGCCATCCAAGCAGCACTCACTTCACTTTGGTTTTAAGTGTGGAAAAGAAACACACATACACCAACGCGGGCTTTTCGAGCTTTGGTCATGCCTTGTAGCCAAAACCATTCTGGAGGAAATTAATTTTCATTTTTAAAAAAAGCTGAAAGATGAATGGCTGCCATGAATATTTTTTCAATACATCTTTACTTTGCCATGTTAAAAAAAAAAGAAAAAAGTTAGGGATGGTAATAGTAACCGATCATTCATAATTTGATCCCTTGTTTGGAATTGATTGATCGTTGGATGAACCTGACCCAAAAGTGAAGCGCATCATCAGAGCCGTTGTACAATCTCATCTTTGGGTAAAGAAGAACATGGCGTCGGGTGCGCTATTTTGTTTCACGGCGTTTCATGTTGTGAATGTTAAGACTAGTTGAAAAATATTATTGAAATATTCCGAGCATGGCGAGCCAATACCATATGGTCCAGTAAGGTCCATGAATATCTGGATATGAGCACAATAAACACCACCACGGGGGGGATTTGAAATGAAGCACTATGTGCTTTAAGCACAGACTTTGATCGTCACCAGACACTGATTTCATCGCTGGTGATGCTTCGCCAGGCCTCGACTACAACTGTCTTCAGTTTCGGGTCATTGCCCATCTGCACTGTGAAGCGCCATCCAATGAATTCCGAAGCATTTGACTGAATATGAGCAGATCATATGAGCGAAGCAGTTCTGGGAACCGGTTCCATTGGCAGCCACGCACGCCCGCCTCGCCGTGGAATGGCTCAGCAGCCGTTCCAGATTTTGTCCCAATATTCACGGGCCAGAAATTGCAGCATTCCGCTCCAGTCTACCGCACCTCTTCGTGAACATACAACGATGCTCAACATGAGTTGGTTTTCATGGTTTTGCCCATTATACAATTTTTAAGGGGAAAGTCAACAGTCCCAATCCAAAGCGATCAGAAGCAAATCAATTCTGGGAGTGGCAAAGTGGCATTTGAGGGAAATCATTAGGAAGGCGTGTCGAGCTCACAGTGCAGAGGTCATGGGTTCGATCCCGGCTCCGGCCTTCCTGTGTGGAGTTTGCATGTTCTCCCCGGGCCTGCGTGGGTTTTCTCTGGGTACTCCGGTTTCCTCCCACATTCCAAAAACATGCATGGCAGGTTAATGGAACACTCTAAATTGTCCCTCGGTGTGAGTGTGCGTGCAGATGGTTTGTCTTTGTGTGCCCTGCGATTGGCTGGCAACCGGTTCGGGGTGTACCCCACCTACTGCCTGATGAAGGCTGGGATAGGCTCCAGCACACACTGCGACCCTTGTGAGGATAAAGCGGATCGAAAAAGTAAGAATCCATTGATAAACAAAGACAATTTATATTGACTGGTCGAGGAAAAAGCCATCGGCTAGACATTCCCTTATCTAAATGTTCCATAGTATGCTACATGTCTCACCCTCTCAATCGATATCTCTTTATTGTCTGAGGTATTAACACACTAATTGCAGTGCAAGTAGAATGCGGAAACGTCACTCTCTTTCATACACATACTAAGGGGATCAATATCGCCCCATAGCAGTGTCGCGTATCGGATCCAACCCGTATAATCTCTGACATCAAGTCCTGCGGCGGCACATTGGGGTGCTGAATACAAAACCCTCATCATTTTAGAGTGTTCCACGCATACAATAAGCACAGGCGGCTATACGAATGCAACATACATTTAGCCGTTCAATGCCGTGAGTGCGTTCTGGACAGTGGATGAATGCTGGCTTTCAATTCAGATTGCATCTGAGCTGCACGTGGATCAACGGGCCACAGCTTGAATGCGGGCAAGACGTTGTTTGTCGATTCATTGCTTGTCCGGTAATCAGCTTCACATTGCTCATGATGTACGGTAATGCGCAAACAGCCTAACAAGATCCTGATGGCTCCACGTTGTGCGTATGTGCGGAACCTCTGACAGATAGTCGTTGCCGTGCTGCTTTTCTCCATGGAGGCTGAGCGCAAGGACATTCTGGCGCTTCTCCTCGTTTTGGGTGGCAGCTAAACTGGAGCAGAGCTGACTTTGGGTGAGAAGAGGGGTACGAATCACCATTCAACTCGCATTCGACTTCAGAGTCTTCAATGAAGAGAGCAAGCATGTTTTTGGAATGTGAGGTGAAACCGGAGTACTGGAAGAACATACAACCTCCACATAGAAAGGCCATCGCTGCTCTTTGAACCCAGAGCCGAAGACCTGTGCACATTCTGATGAATGAGTGTGCCAATACCACCTAGTGTAGTGGATGTGCAATTGCACTTTATTCCCGAACAGCAAAGAATAGCTTGTTCCCTGGGGTAACACACACCCATCCCACTGTTTTGAGGACACTTGTAATTTATTCCTTGAAATATTTCCTGCGGGGAAACAAAAACAGATCAAATCGGAATCCTGGAGTCGATAGCAACATATAGATGCTTTCAATCCAGGGTGTACCACGCCTTTTTTTTCTTCCAAAGTCAGTTGGGTTAGGATCTAGCTCACCTGCAAGTCTGAGGAGGACAAGTGGATGCAACGTCGGACTCCTCTTTGCACAGGCTTCCTTACACAATGTATAATTTTAACCTACGTTGTCCCGGGTTTTACAATATATGCATTTTTTGTAAAGACAGTTGTGCGCAGACCAGACCCACCTATCCCTCCTGATCAACATTCACCTCGCCGTCGGGATGATGGCTAAGACGCCCATGACGTCACACTCAGCTGAGGACAAAGCCCACCGGTTTCTCCTAGACAGAAAGGTGGGGAGAGGGGGCTTTGAAAGAGGGTGGGAAAGACGTCTACTTGCAGATACGAGATGAAATCCACCCTCTTTGTGCATGTGCTGGGGAAGTGCGTGTATTGCGTGTCTGATGCAGTGTGCTGAGTGGCACTGCATTGAGCTCATGCATACGTCAATGCCATCATGCCCCGCTTGTCAGGACAAGGGATGACCCTGCAGAGCATGTGAAAATTATATCACTGCCAGGACTCACTGTTCTCGATTGCACCAATGCATCTGAGCGCTGCATGTAATCCCCATGTGCAATATCCCCCACTCACAGTCATCACCACCACTCTACCCGCTGAGATATATGCCAGGAATGATTGCTTCTTCCATCATGGTTTCGCCAAGAAAATGTGTAAAATAGCAGGCGCTTGTGCCGTTTCATGTGGAATCCAGATGTACAATTAGATTAAATGGAAGCAAATATTGAATACACCGGGATTACAACCACTTTATTCCAACCCACCGCAGACTGCACACATAAAGGCACACAGTGAGGCAGACAAAGCAGGGGAACGCCCCCTCCGCCTAGCAAACTGCTGTCAGGGCCATCAACTGGTTCAGGCTGGATTCCAGGCATTCTTATACTCAAGATATAAATTAATCGACCATATACATGGAAAACTGGTGAGCGGTATGTTAAGTGTGCAAAATCAATCATCCAAGAACGTCAGCCTCTTTCCACCACACAATGCTACTATTTAAAGTTGGCACACACAAAAAGATAAGGCGACGAGCTGGTGAAAAAAAAAAAAGATGATAAAGGGTACTTACTGGGGGAGAATGTCCACTCCGAAAGGTAAATCCGTGCCAGGCGACCTGCACTGACGTGCCGTTTGGCCCTTTGGATAGCTTTTTTTGTCGTGTTGATCGCTTTGACGGATTCCAAGTAGGTACAGGGCCAAAATCGAGTTCCAAGCTCCAAAATTACCATCGAGCGCCTTAAGTACGCGTCGTATCTCTTTCTCCGGAGGATGTTAAGGTCGTTTTCCGACTCTTTCGAGCACAATTACTCGTCTTCTCGTGTCGCTATCTGTTTTTTGGAGTGCTCGCAGCTGTTTTCGTTGTTCCAACCTTTCGCCTGTGATTTCTCCCCTGTGCCTTTAAACGACGGCGTTTCCGGGGTTTACTACTTAATACATAAAAGGCGGGGCTTTTCTGCCAGCTGAGCGCTTGTCATTTACTCGATTGGCTGTTCTTAGTTCTCGTAACCAATCAGCGCTTGGGTGTACCCCTGGTTCAAAATATGCAGATTTATTCAAAAATACTGCTCGGTGATTGGACGTCCGTTTCGATAAAGAAACGCCCAGTACACGTGCGTTTGTTCTAGCACCCAGCTCCGACTTCACTTCTTAGCTGCGGTCAAGAAAAATCCACGAGGGGCAACAACAAATATGACAAATAATTATCCGCGTTTGGGTAAAAAATGAGACGTCACATTTGCGTTGTCTGATTTCAAGCCCCGGTCAAAACACCCTACGTCAATCATTAAATCCTTCGTCACAGGAACGTGATGACGTTATTCCTTTCCTCATTTTGGACTGAATAGGCCAGAGCCATGTTTTCACTGAGCTAAAAATAGACTTTATATCCCCATTTGCAGCTGTAGCGTACACTGCACCCAACCAAGCTGATAACTGTGCACTGTGGAAAGGAGTTGTGCAGATTATATAAAGGCCTGTGAGAGCAAACTAGAATGGTTTATTAATATATTGCCACTCTATTTGTTCTTAGTGTGGTCTACATACAGATATAATGATACACTAGTGACCTCCTCTATTTTCTGAACCTCAAATTAATGACCTACAAAATGATAGAGCCACCACAGAGGCCCAAATGCTGCCTAATTATATGTACAGTATTGTGCCTATAATTTGCTTGAGAGGCTGTGAACGTAGTGCTCATTTCATGATCTGTTAAAATGATTATGAAATACGTGGAGACCAGATATCCCCCAGAAGGACATTAAACAGAACGTGAAACATAAAACAATAAAGTGTGTGCGTGTGTGTGTGTGTGTGTGTGTGTGTGTGTATTGTGTGTGTGTGTGTGTGTGTGTGTGTGTGTGTGTGTGTGTGTGTGTGTGTGTGTGTGTGTGTGTGTGTGTGTGTGAATTTAACCTGCATTGCAGAATAATGTAGCACATACTTTCCGAGAATCACACATACCATGCCATATTTTATTACAGTGATTAAGGGGAAATTAAAATTTATAATTACACTAAAGGGAAATGTACAATAAGACTCAAAGTTATGATTAAATATTATGTGGACTTCCAAAAAAATCTCAATAAAACAATATAAAAAAATAACTTTTATATGCATTTAAAAACATTTTAATGGATTCAACAAATTACAGTGTAAATAACTAAAAAGTGGTGAAACACTTTTAATACATTAATTGACAAACATAAAACAAAACATTTTGCAAAATAATTCCGTTTTTTACTGTTTTAAAAAAATTAAATGCATGTTCATTGTCTGGAAAAAAAAGCGCAGGCTTGTACTTTTTCGAGGACAAGGAGCAGAAGATGACTCATACGTTTCTTCTTTTTGAGAGTGTCCAAGCTGACTCCCTCGATAACTAGTGTTCATGTCAGATCTGTAAGTGCTTTGTTTGACACCATATGCTGTGATGTTAACGATCAATCAGAAAGTAAGGGTCATTCCAGAATTTGAGGACATTTTCTGACCCCCAACACCTTCCCCCATTAAGCTTCCAATAATCCATGCACAGAAAACAGAAATGTTCACCCTTCGTTAAATTATACTTTATCTAAGACAAAATGTAGCTCACTGTAAATGTGATTCAGTATCTACATGACCACATATCTCTTGAGCACCTCCTAAAATGTCTCGTAAAATAATTACTACAAGTTCATTTAAAAACGGCATTGTCCCAGAAATAAGTCCTGCAATTAGTATAATGATTTTTGATATTTTGTACGCAATATGAAGACAATTACAAAACACATTACTGTACTGATCTTTCATGAAAACTTTGTCAAAAAGCGAAACCGGAACCTATCCCCAAAGTACCGGAAGTACTTCTGTGTGGCACCCAGCGGAAATAAACAACGTACCTGATCGACTCTGTCGGCCGGCGTCCGCTTAAAGCATCAAAGCAACGATGGCGTCTGTTCAGTATCTAAGGCACTTTGTAAACGAGCGACTCACTGCTGCCGCTGAGGAAATATTCGGCGTCTTCGAAAGAACTCTCGCCGAGTACCAGGAAGAGCTTCAGCGTCAGCGTCGAATGGTGGATACCCTCAGTGGCCCTCAAATCAAGTTACACAGGATTGGTGCGTGAAACCCCTTCATTCACTGCCACGTTACCACACTAACGAAGAGAAGACTTTATTGACTTGTTTTCATCTCCACTGTGATCTGTGCCTTCAGAGATCCAACATGAGGACATTGAGCAGATTTGCACTGAGAAGCTGCTTTATAAGCAAGAGGCCGACACATGTGCGGACCAAAGTGAACCAGACCCTGTACTGGATGGGGTTTCCAGGCATGAATTACATTTAGGTGTGCAAAACATAGGAGAGGCTTGCTCCAGCCCACCTGTGACCTTAAAGGAAAATCGATAGATTGTAGATAGCATGACATACCAGTCAAGCATACTTTTCTTTATTATCTTTACCTTTCTTAACTGACTGACGAGTAGGAATTAAATAGCTTGGTTGTGGTTGAACTATACACTTGAACTATGTTAGCAATTCTGGTTGCCATATGTCACATATGGAAGTAATAGCAATGGTTGATTTGTTGTTCAGGGCGTCCTTGGTTTTACAAAGAAAAGCCATAACTTTTGACGTTTTGTTTTTAACGTTTTCTATATATGGCTTCCAAAGTTTGGCATCAGTGATCATTTCAAAAAATGTTGTATTGTGTACTCTTTTTATTTGAATTGAATGTACAGTGATTTTAACTGGTTTTAGTGCCAGAAATAATGAACTTTTTGTTCAAATTTAGTGATAATTTATGGACATCAAAGCATTCTTCAGTGTATTCCGTTCACTGTCCAATATTCAGCCGTTCAAGATTTTTGCCAGCAGAATATATTAGCATCATCAGCAAATACATTTAAATATTTTAAAAACATTGCATGTATCATCAGTATACAATCAGAATAATTTAGGGCCTATCATAGACCCTTGAAGTACCTCAGAAATCACCTATAATAGCTTTATTTTATATTATTAAGGTGCACATATTGATTGGTCATCCAATTAACTTTGCATCCATTTATGTGCCAACTCTCTTAATACCACAGTCCTGTAATTTTTCTAGGAGTATACTACATTCGGCATGATAAACAAGTCAACCACAAATTTTTATCTATGCTCGTAGATACTGTTGATAGCTGCTTATGAAGACAAAATGTAAGTGTATTTAGGCTTGAATATGATACCTTCCATCATCTTATCGTACCTTCAGTTCCAATGAGCTCCCAGTTTGCTGGAAAGCTTCTGCCTGTCTACAACACAATCCGCTAATAACGATCTCTTCTTGGCCTTTGTGTGATCTTTAGAAATACAACACGTGGACAAGGAGCCACAGTTTCTTCGTGACCAGCAGCTTTGTTGGCAAGAGCAAAATTCATTTGTGGACCAAGAGGAGCCAGAGCATCCGCAGATTAAAGAGGAACCCGGAACCAGTCACGACGGAGAACTGAATACTTCCTCATCTGTTCCAGTCGTTGACGACCATTACAGCAGAGGGGATGCCGTCCTGTACTCGAGTCCCATTGAAAGTCCGTCAGAGGACGCGAGCGTACACACCGAGACGAGCCGAAAGTCTTTCAGGTGCGACTACTGCGGCAAAGCGTTTGGTTTCAGGTGCAAGCTGAAAAGACACATGATGACCCACACGGGAGTGAAGCCCTACTCTTGCAAGACATGCGGCAAGGGATTTAACCAGACGTCCAACCTGAAAAGACACTTAATGATCCACACCGACGAGAAGCCGTACGCTTGCAAAACGTGCGGGAAGCAATTCAGGAACACGCACGAAGTCATCACGCACGCCAGAACTCACACGGGCGAAAAGCCGTACCCCTGCAGCACGTGCGGGAAAAGGTTCACGCAGCTCTCTATCCTCAAGAGACACGTCATGGTCCACACCGGGGAGAAGCCGTTCCTCTGCAACACGTGCGGCAGAAGCTTCGGCGACCTGTCGGTGCTGAAAAGGCACGTGATGGTGCACACGGGAGAGAAGCCGTATGCGTGCGACGTCTGCGGGAGAAGGTTCCGCGCCAACAGCAACTTGAGCATCCACAGGAGGAGGGTGCACGCGGCGGGGCGTTCTCTCGAGGCCGCGTGCTTTGATACTTGAGACTTGATGCCCGACGGAATTTGTTGGTTAACTCACCTGAAAGGAAACGACGTGTAGCTTTTATAGTTATTAGGAGCGTGCATCTCTCCAATAAAAGACGATTCGTACGCGTCTCGATACATGGGCTGTGATACGATTCACGGACGCTTCATCAAAGTGAACCGATTTGGTTCAACTGAGTCGGATTACGATTCGATATAATACGGTGAGTTCAAGAGGGTATCTTTCAATGAGTTTGCTTTACAACATGAACCAACTTGTCAGATATTTTATACAGACATGCATATATATATATATATATATATATATATATATATATATATATATATATATAGGTGTTCATCTCCATGAAAAGACAATTCAATATTTATTTGCGAAATGGGGTGTGAAGATTGAAGGATGATACATTTTAAAGTAAGCAGATATGATACACTGTCATCTTTTAAATCAAAACCGATTTTCCGATTTTTTTGTTGCACTCCTATTTATTGATAATAGCAATGACAGGATAGCACAAAAAATCCGTTGGTAAAAGTACTCACACTCACTACATTTTGAATTTCCCAAAAAAGGTTAAGCAATAGAAAGTACTCCTGTTTTTAAATGTTGGGAGTCAAATCCAAAAGTTAATTAAAAATGACCAAGTGCCTTTAGTTTGGAACTGTGCCAGACTAAAGAAGAAAAGGACCCAGTGCGGTAAAATGATCAATAACTTCAAATATTTAAAAAAATAAATCTGTATTTACCATTTTTATTTGTTTTGGTTTTTAGTTCTACCCGAGGAGTGTTTTTCATACAAATATTCACTGTGATTCTGACTTTACTTCTGCTTTCCGGATTACATTGCCGGCATAAAAACAGGAACTCTGTCATTAACCGAGGACCTCTTTTTGTCACGGCACGACTATTAATCCTGTGGGAATGTGGCCAGCACATATGACATAGCGACCATCTGGCGGTCTATGAACTCAGTTTGAAGTGTTGATATTAGTCATCTGTTGCCATCTTTGCTTTCTTGGACCCTTCAGCACCTTGCTTCATCCTCCTCTTCACTTTGTTTTTCTGGCCTTCCTCCTGTCTGAACTGGTGCCTGCTCAAAAAGAAGAAGAAAAAAAAAATCCAGCCCAGACATGAGAGGAGATATTGAAATGAGCCTGTGGATGAAGCACAGTGTGTTGAAATCTCACCTGGACTGCCATCGTCTGCCGCTGTTCCACACGCGACCAAAAGAGGGCAACCAGTTGGCATCCGTGTGTGAGCTGTGGTCAAAGTTGGCCCCCACTCTGTTCGGGGGAAGCTTTTTCAGCTTCTCTTGCTCCTCTGGAAAAAAAATATATATACACAGGTTTCATGTGAGACTTTGCATTAGCATATGTAGGCAAACACTTGCGAACGTCCTTCCAGCGAGCTGCTGCTGACAAGCATTTCAATATGTCAAACGTCATCAAGGCCGAAGAATTTTTGTTTTACACTCCCCATAAGTATAAAAAAAAAAGTATGCTACTGTGTCTGAGGAATTCTTGGCAGGACGGGCCAATCTCCAGAGGCATCGCGGTTGTGGATGTCCCCTCTAGAGGATCATCATCCTGGAACCAAGGAGGAACGGCACCTGCAACGCAAAAAGAGTTAGCAATAAGGATAAAGGTGTTAAAAAATAGTTAGATATACTACATCCAATTCAATGCTGAACACAAAGTTGTGTCCTGCTCCTTCCTTCGAAAAGGTGATTAAATGCTAATTAGTGTGAGCTTGTTCCAAAATTGCTGCTGTTCTTACCGTACCTGTGTGTACGTTTCCGCTGTTTGCCGAATTCTACAAGAGAGAAAACGACACCAGTGACTGCTGCGTTTGTGTTGGATGGGTTCCAAGGCATTTCATTTACCTGATAACCAATGAAAGTCAGGCCCTGCTGCTGCGCGTCCACCATTGAGTCGACGAGGCTTCTCCCCGTTTGCCGGTGGCCTCCCCGTGATGTCCCTTGAAACCTTTTTTTTTTTGCACCCCCAGGTAAGAAGATGAGCACAAGCCATATTAAAAAAACGCGTGAATGCATTTGAGGAGACGATGTTACCTGACACCGGCCTCTGCTGCCGTTTCCGTTCCGTTCGGTCCGTGGCTCGACTCTGGCTCTGCTTCATGCTGATTTTGATTCAGGAAAAGCCAACAGTGGTTCACAGAGGAAGTCTCACCGCTAATTAGCCCTCTTACCAACAAGTATCAAACAACGGTTCATCCATTTGTCAAATATTTTGACTTTAAAACCAATCACAGAAACACCATTGTTATCGAATGTCTTTCACTAAGATTTTTGTAGCTGCAAGTCTAGCTGCAATCCACTTCTCCGCTACGCGTCTGAAAAGTATGCCAGTTGACAGTCAAGGCCACAGTGATGGATACCGCCATTGCATCCTTGGAAACAAACCTCTACAAGAGACTCAAGGAGCTCTTGGCGCCGTTTCTCCTGGGCCCGGATCAACTCGGCTTGCTAAAAGACACAAGGAGACAAACAGAACATCAGATGTGAAATCTGCACAATGTGGTTGGAACAATGCAGCGTTAGTCAATTTAAGGTGAGTGGTGGTTCTCAGAGAACATTGTCCAGGAATGGGAAATGTGCGGCCAAAACAGAATTTGTGCAAAACCTTCCTGCAGAGTGCTCTGAATGAATAAAAGATGCCTGCAGCTGAACTGTGCGCCTTTCACAAAGGAAAAAAACAGTGTGTGCAACTAGCATGTAAAAATGATTTCATTGTGTGGTCAGTCCCAATTAAACTGGACATGAGGCGAAAAGAATATTGACTCTTGAACTGGATGGCCTTTTGTTGTCCTGAGCGGAACATGTTTTCTGAGAACCACCGGAAGACCAAAGTGTTTTATTGTTTTACTAACAGCGCTTAAGTCAATGTTGAAAAATGTTTTCAACCTTTGAGGTTCCAGTGCATCTCAGTGGGTCACCATAAAATAAAATGTAAGATTACCTGTTTAATGAATTCATCCTCCTGCTCCACAAATGTTTCCAACACTTTGGCCACTTCAACTTTGAACCTACAGAAAAAAAAAGAGAGTGTATTAACAGAAATAATGTTCACCATGCTGTTGACTTTTGCAAACATATCTCTTTATTTTTTTATCCAGTTCGCCAGGCTCACCGTTGAGTCTCTTCATGTGTGATGATGACTTTGTCTTTCAACTTGGGATCGGCCTTGTTCTCCCACCAGAACTTGTGGGTACTCTTTCTGTGTTCTGGCCTGAAATCGGATCATGTGAAAAGTCATCTCACAGCACTACTCCACACAACTATCGCTTGCTGCTGAAGCAATATTAGAAGTTATTCTATCTGACACGCGACAACATTATAATGCCGAGTATCTTTGAACCTTTCGGGAAAAATGTCACTCACGTGGCCATGTGTTCCAACAATCCTCCATGTAAAACGGTCATGTTGCCATCAGAAACATTTCGTTCCACTTCCTGGCCGCAGCAGTAACACCAGAACGTTTTCTTGTGTTGAGTACAGTCAAATTTTTCAACTTCGGGTTTTTTAAGTGTTCGCCGCGCTTCCTTCACCTGGAAGACACGAGGAACAGCTGCAGAAACACCCCCTAAACATGTTAAAAAGAACATTTTTATATTTTGACTCAAGTCTTCTACTTTTTTCCCTTTTGGAGAACCAATCGAGGATCGCCACAACGAATCATCCTCTTCCATCTCTCCCTGTCCTTTGCATTCTCTGCAGCGATCTGAAAGTCTCTGATATACTCCCTGTTGCTCTACATCATCGACCCCCAAAATGTGTGCTCCATCACCATTTCACCTGTACTCATTGTAACCTTAAACTCCCTAAAAATGGATCCTCAAAGGGTAGGCTCCCTCTAGTGGTGCATGAAATTAATGTTCATTCGAATTGGATATATTGACAAAAGCGGTTTTTGTCGCTCCTGTACTAATGTTAGGGCATTAATTCGTTACCTTTTCGATGAATTTCATTATCACGAGCCTAAGTCTGCTCTGGTGATGTTTCCCGAAGATATGTCCTTTCCCGTTGAACGCCGTTTGCCTACAGATGGCGCAGTAATAGGCGCCCATCTACCCGAATGAAAAGTGAAAGCCAATACGAGACCACACTTTAGTTGGCGCTTCTAACAAGCAACTGAATTACACCCGTCTAGCTAACGAATAATGCAGTGGAACGAACTGCCAAAAGAGGAAATACCGTCTCGCAATGGATCCCCTTAGAAACAATAATGTGGAACTATTATTGTTGCTGTTGAAGATACCGTGGAACTACCCGGGTTAGCATACTCACATTATACATATTAAAAATAGTGTAGCGTTTTAAAGTATAGGGTGTATTTTCCATAGATAAAATTTCGTGAACTTGAGAATAAAATTTCCTTCCATTCCTAGTCGGAAAGTAAAAAGGCTGGCACATGTCGCCGGAAGTATGCTGGTGACGCCTTCTGTATTATGAAGTATAAATCGTTTTAAATAACTCTTCTTTTTGTAATTCGAGAAGTTCAATGAAGCTGGTTGATAAAAAAAGGGACACGTTTTACTGACGCGTTAATAAATAATAATTAAAAAATAATTCGTTTTTTTTTTTAGTATGACTTTTATTTCATTATTGCGCTGTCGCCTATAATCAAAATATAAACAAAATATATTTTTGTGCACCAAAAGCAACTCACTTGTTAATGTTGCATACTTTCTTGGAAGTAACTGAAATAAATGTGGCAAATAAATTCACGATAATCACTGGAAACTCGCGAACAACACATGCACACAGAAAAAAATGTGTTTCCGTTTTTAAGTTGCACCCAGGAGCGTGTTGCCACACTTTAAATAACTAACTAAATAATAAATTATTAATTAAAAAACATCTGGAAATCAGAATATATATATTTAAGTCGTATATTTAACCGGAAAAAGGTTGTGTGTCTCATTGAAATAAAAAGCTTATTTCTCCCCCAGATATGTCTTAATTCTACAAGAGTAAGTGCAACTATTAAACTAAAACAAAAGAAGTGGAAGGCATTATTGCTTCAAGTGCATCATCGGAACCAAGCAGGGTAACATCCACCGGAAGTTAAACAAACCCAAGCCAAAACGTTAGCCATCACAAATCCTCTTGCTTAGGCAAAACATCAGTCCCGTTTACCATGTCGGTGACGCAATCGACCACGTCCAAATTCCACCACTTGAGGACGTTCGTCAACGAGCGACTGACTGCCGCCGCCGAAGAAATATTTGGTGTTTTTGAGAAAACAATCGTCGCCTACGAAGAAGAGATGGACCGTCAGCGCAAGCTTCTGGACGTGGTCTGCAAACCCGCCGGTCATTCACACATAACAGGTTTGTAATGCATTTTCATGCACGAGCCAATTTTTACACACATTTGCGATGATACGATTAATTTCTAATGATTTTACTTGGATTTGGATTCATAGTGCAACCAACCATACCAAGTAATAGAAACCAAATATATCAATATAGTCATGGAAAGAGGGTTATGTTGCCTGAAATATGATATTGCCTTAATCATTGCAATTGTCTAAGCGAACCGAGCGACTGACTGCCGCCGCCGAAGAAATATTTGGTGTTTTTGAGAAAACAATCGTCGCCTACGAAGAAGAGATGGACCGTCAGCGCAAGCTTCTGGACGTGGTCTGCAAACCCGCCGGTCATTCACACATAACAGGTTTGTAATGCATTTTCATGCACGAGCCAATTTTTACACACATTTGCGATGATACGATTAATTTCTAATGATTTTACTTGGATTTGGATTCATAGTGCAACCAACCATACCAAGTAATAGAAACCAAATATATCAATATAGTCATGGAAAGAGGGTTATGTTGCCTGAAATATGATATTGCCTTAATCATTGCAATTGTCTAAGCGAACCAAAAAAAAAGTCATAATTGTTAATTTAAATTCATCAGTCGGTTTATCTGTTTGTGTGAATTGGCCTAAAAAAAAATCCAAATTGGTCGAGCGGCAGGTAGAGGCATGGTTACGAAATTCAGCTTTTGAACCAAGGCACTGCTCTTATTTTCACCTTTTTTTCTATATAATCGTTCAGCTAAACAGATTTTTTTTTTGTCTCCATTATTTTATCACTGAACGACCTTCAGAGTCCCTAGAGGGAAGATTGTGCACCCAGGAGAGCATCACCAGTGTGGAGCAGGAGCAGCAAGAGCTTTCGCACATTAAAGTGAAACAAGAGGAGCATTTCTCCAACTGTGCGGTCTGGCCTCTGGGTTTGAACTGTGATCAGAATGAAAGCGAAGCGGATAAAGAAGCCACCAATGATGTGGAAAATAGCGACTTTGACACCTTGGAGCTGAGCAACGATAATCAAATCGTCTTCCGTGGCTATTATCCAGAAAACAGCCAAGAATACCTAAACGCAAACATAGCATCTACATCCACTCGGAATATCAAGACGGAACATCACGACCAGGAGGACAGGACGTATAACATGGAGAACGCCATGTCAGCCATCAACTCTCAGGTGCAACTCTTTGAGCAGCCTTTTCACGGCAGTGTCTTTCACACCGACTCGGACGTGTACGCGCAGGCCAAGCCTTTCGTTTGCGACGTCTGCGGAAAGGGATTCGGCTTCAAGCGTTACCTGGCGCAGCACATGATCACCCACTCGGCGGAGAAGCCGTACTCTTGCGGCAGGTGTCGCAAGACCTTCCGGCGCATGCAAGGGCTGCAGATACACATGCGGTGTCACACGGGCGAGAAGCCGTATTTCTGCAAAACCTGCGGGAAGAGATTCTGCCAGAGCTCCTCGCTCAGGGTTCATCTGAGAGTTCACACGGGCGAGAAACCGTACTCGTGCACCACGTGCGGGATCGGATTCAGTAGCCTGCCGGTGCTGAGGAACCACGTGGTGAGGGTGCACGAAGGCAACATGCTGTACGTCGCCTCGTCCGGGGAGAGGAACTCTGTTGTGTGGCCCAATTGAAGTGTCGTAACACATTTGACACCTGTTAATGTTTGGTAGTATTTTTATACAGGTACATCTGGTGCAAAAGTAGCCTGTAACTGTAGAAAATAATGTTACACATGATGCAAAATTAACCAAATGAACCAATGAGAATGAGCTAAAAATTATTTTTGCTAAAACTACAGTTATTTTGTACAAGTTACTTTTGCACCAAATTTACCCCCTGGACTCAAGACAAAAATTGTCTTTGCAATAATATGTTCTATGTGCCCGCACTCGTCGAAACTAGCCTGATGAACATTGCGTTAGTGGAATAAGAATGAAGTCGAAAAATCCACCAGATTTTATCCATCTCAGGTGCTGCCATTTTGTCTTGAATTGCCCCCTGCTGTCGATTAAAATTGACATCAAAATGCCCTCGGGTTTGCATTGTGAACGTCACATGACCAAACCCAGAAAACGAGTGAACGGTGCGTCGGCAAGCTTGGCTTGGCGTTGATAGAACACATGATTGAAAAGACCATTTTTGACTTGGCTTCTCCTTTTAATGCAAGATTGACTTTGTCAAAGAGTGGCACTCTTGTAAATGTGATGTCCCGCCGTTGATTCAGAAAAATTGCATCACCATCGACAACAATCCAGGCTAAACTTAGCCCCTCCCCGACATGCAAAGCTTGTCTCTCAGTCAAGATTTCTCACTTCACCGTACTTCCCCTTGGAGCAATTTACTGTATGAATTTCCTGTTTAAATGGGGCCTTGACCCCATCTTGCAGTGTTGTCAGGAATTTCAGAAATAGGCTAAAACTAACAAATGGGAGCAGAAAAAAGACGTCAATAGGTGAATTTGTTCCTCGTCAGCTGGCATCATGTAGGGGATTACTTTGGGTGACTTTTTTTTTAGGCATTTTCTGCACCCCGCCCCACAAATACAATAATCCAGAAAGTATATACTGTGTTGTATATTTATTTTCAGGGCAGCATGATGTGGTAGTGTTTGAGTCTCAGCCCCGGCTTTCCAATGTGATGATTGCATGTTCTGTCTTTTTTTTCCCCTCTTCAGATCGTCAGACTTTCTCCCACATTCCCAAAATGTGCGTGTTAGATTAATAGAAGACTCCAAAAGTCTCAGTTCGGTATCCAATCTTATTTGTGTAAACAGGAACAGATATTGACATTACAAATGAAACGTTACTGCTTATTTTTATTTATTTATTTGTCTATTTATTTATTTATTTGAGGCAAGTGAAACATCAGTAGCTTGTCTTAGTAATTGAAGACTGTAGACAGGTGCGGACACGAACAGTTTTAACAGGGTGATTTATGACTTAAAAACAGTCATAATGGCATCTGAAGGGCTGCTTAAATGCCACTGGAAGTTATTTTTGAAGTTTTTTTTTTCTTTCCTTCACTGATATCGACTTTCACATATTGTTGATTCAAATGACTGAACGAGTTTGAGCTGGCGGCAAAAGCAATTCACCGTTGAGACAAGACATTGAGCACATTTTCACCAGCTGAGATAAGCTACATTTCTGTAAATAGTGGAACGGTGAAAATATTTAATGTTGTGAAGAAAATTCCAAGTGTTTATGATTGTTTTTTATTCATTCACCTGTAAAATGATTTTCAGTTCAAGTAAACTACCTCAGTGATTTTTTTTTTCAACCTCTCTTACATTCGGTTGCTAGTCACTATGTCACTAGGCTTCTGCATCTGCTGTGTAATTCTGCATTTAAATTTTGTTGAATTATCACCATACACAATTCAGTTACAGTCCATCACTGAATATGTTAAAGTCAAAGTTGCAAGAAATAAAATGCAGAGCCAAAGCAGTAATTTATTGTTTTGGAATACTGTCGTGAATTTCAATGTGTGGTGGGAGAATGTGGTTTCGCTCTCGTGGTTTATGAAAGAATTACCGTACAAGTACTGTGGAGTTCAGTCGTATTTAACTTCTTTTAATATATTTGCAGTTTGTACATTTTAAATACTGTTTGAGAAATTTCATTTAAATGGAAAACTTCATCAGATTTTGAAGTACTATAGTTACATAAAAGTAATTATTGTTTCAAGAACTCAATCTGTCATGTGTATTGCCTTCTTCGAGACTACCGTATTGATGAAATTCCACCTTTTGGCTATTTAAATAGTAGCAGGCGTTGTTTTTCAATGAGGTTCTCTTTGCTTCTTTTTCTAACGTGGAAATTCAACAGAGGTCTAGCAGTAATGACGTTGAATATCATTTATAATTTATGAATACAATTATTTCAATATTTCTAAAGATATAGCTCTTGACGGGTTTACCTGCTCCTGTTTCAAATTCAGAATTCATTCGATGAAATGTCGCCATCTAGTGGGCTTTTAAACCAGTTACAACTATTTGTTTCCCAAGGTTTACTTTCTTATTCCGTATTACTGTACTTGAGATTAAAGAGTTGCAAAAAGAAAAAAACTGTACAAAACATTTGAATGCAATCCCCTCAATTCTGTTACACCTGCTGGACGGCTTCCGCCATTTAGGCACGTGATTAAACCTCGAGCTATAATTGGTCCAGATGCACCTTTCGTTTGATGGCACCTTTCAGATTTTTGGGCAGGAAATTTAATTCCACTCCGTGGTCGACTCAAAGTGTCATATTTCACAGTTAACCCGTTTCAGAGTTCACCGAAAGATGGCGGATGAATTTTTGGCATAATGAACGCGGTGGTCTTCGATGAATGACGTCAAGTGTGAGTTTCTGCGTTCTGCAGTAAGGTAAGAATGTAATGCAGCAATAGTTTGTGTTGGCAGCCGTATTATCTGTTTCACAATATCGATGTACTCATCCTTTTTTTGTGACAGTATTTCAAAAAATTAATTTTTTACCACCGCTTCTGTTGTTTTTCTTGTTTTAAAGTGTGTTATTTCGTGGGCCCGAGATGTTTTGTTTATACTAAGACTGAACTGGGTTTGGATTCATGAATCTAGGTAATTTTCCATCATTAGATAGGACTACAACTGCACAATATAATGCGGCAAGCTTTTTACACGAACTACCACATAAAGTACGTAGCACTAGAAAGTACCACCATAATGTTTAATATTAAAATACCATGGGGTCGTTGAGCCAAGTGCTCATCAAAAACATGGCAAAGGTTATAGTTTAAAAACGACAAAAAAAAGAACACATTTCTGCATGGTTTGCATCGGCGGAGAAGCCGTACTCTTGCGGCAGGTGTCGCAAGACCTTCCGGCGCATGCAAGGGCTGCAGATACACATGCGGTGTCACACGGGCGAGAAGCCGTATTTCTGCAAAACCTGCGGGAAGAGATTCTGCCAGAGCTCCTCGCTCAGGGTTCATCTGAGAGTTCACACGGGCGAGAAACCGTACTCGTGCACCACGTGCGGGATCGGATTCAGTAGCCTGCCGGTGCTGAGGAACCACGTGGTGAGGGTGCACGAAGGCAACATGCTGTACGTCGCCTCGTCCGGGGAGAGGAACTCTGTTGTGTGGCCCAATTGAAGTGTCGTAACACATTTGACACCTGTTAATGTTTGGTAGTATTTTTATACAGGTACATCTGGTGCAAAAGTAGCCTGTAACTGTAGAAAATAATGTTACACATGATGCAAAATTAACCAAATGAACCAATGAGAATGAGCTAAAAATTATTTTTGCTAAAACTACAGTTATTTTGTACAAGTTACTTTTGCACCAAATTTACCCCCTGGACTCAAGACAAAAATTGTCTTTGCAATAATATGTTCTATGTGCCCGCACTCGTCGAAACTAGCCTGATGAACATTGCGTTAGTGGAATAAGAATGAAGTCGAAAAATCCACCAGATTTTATCCATCTCAGGTGCTGCCATTTTGTCTTGAATTGCCCCCTGCTGTCGATTAAAATTGACATCAAAATGCCCTCGGGTTTGCATTGTGAACGTCACATGACCAAACACAGAAAACGAGTGAATGGTGCGTCAGCAAGCTTGGCGTTGATAGAACACATGATTATAAAGACCATTTTTGACTTGGCTTCCCCTTTTAAGCAAGCTTGACTTTGTCAAAGAGTGGCACTCTTGTAAATGTGATGTCCCGCCGTTGATTCAGAAAAATTGCATCACCATCGACAACAACCCAGACTAAACTTAGCCCCTCCCCGACATGCAAAGCTTGTCTCTCAGTCAAGATTTCTCACTTCACCGTACTTCCCCTTGGAGCAATTTACTGTATGAATTTCCTGTTTAAATGGGGCCTTGACCCCATCTTGCAGTGTTGTCAGGAATTTCAGAAATAGGCTAAAACTAACAAATGGGAGCAGAAAAAAGACGTCAATAGGTGAATTTGTTCCTCGTCAGCTGGCATCATGTAGGGGATTACTTTGGGTGACTTTTTTTTTAGGCATTTTCTGCACCCCGCCCCACAAATACAATAATCCAGAAAGTATATACTGTGTTGTATATTTATTTTCAGGGCAGCACGATGTGGTAGTGTTTGAGTCTCAGCCCCGGCTTTCCAATGTGATGATTGCATGTTCTGTCTTTTTTTTCCCCTCTTCAGATCGTCAGACTTTCTCCCACATTCCCAAAATGTGCGTGTTAGATTAATAGAAGACTCAAAAGTCTCAGTTCTCACATGACCAAACACAGAAAACGAGTGAATGGTGCGTCAGCAAGCTTGGCGTTGATAGAACACATGATTATAAAGACCATTTTTGACTTGGCTTCCCCTTTTAAGCAAGCTTGACTTTGTCAAAGAGTGGCACTCTTGTAAATGTGATGTCCCGCCGTTGATTCAGAAAAATTGCATCACCATCGACAACAACCCAGACTAAACTTAGCCCCTCCCCGACATGCAAAGCTTGTCTCTCAGTCGAGATTTCTCACTTCACCCTACTTCCCCTTGGAGCAATTTACTGTATGACTTTCCTGTTTAAATGGGGCCTTGACCCCATTTTGTAGTGTTGTCAGGAATTTCAGGAATAGGCTAAAACTAACAACTGGGAGCAGAAAAAAGACGTCAAGAGGTGAATTTGTTACTCGTTGGCTGGCATCATGTAGGGGATTACTTTGGGTGATTTTTTTTTTTTCTTAGGCATTTTCTGCACCCCGCCCCACAAATACAATAATCCAGAAAGTATATACTGTGTTGTATATTTATTTTCAGGGCAGCACGATGTGGTAGTGTTTGAGTCTCAGCCCCGGCTTTCCAATGTGATGATTGCATGTTCTGTCTTTTTTTTCCCCTCTTCAGATCGTCAGACTTTCTCCCACATTCCCAAAATGTGCGTGTTAGATTAATAGAAGACTCCAAAAGTCTCAGTTCGGTATCCAATCTTATTTGTGTAAACAGGAATGAAGTGTCGTAACACATTTGACACCTGTTAATGTTTGGTAGTATTTTTATACAGGTACATCTGGTGCAAAAGTAGCCTGTAACTGTAGAAAATAATGTTACACATGATGCAAAATTAACCAAATGAACCAATGAGAATGAGCTAAAAATTATTTTTGCTAAAACTACAGTTATTTTGTACAAGTTACTTTTGCACCAAATTTACCCCCTGGACTCAAGACAAAAATTGTCTTTGCAATAATATGTTCTATGTGCCCGCACTCGTCGAAACTAGCCTGATGAACATTGCGTTAGTGGAATAAGAATGAAGTCGAAAAATCCACCAGATTTTATCCATCTCAGGTGCTGCCATTTTGTCTTGAATTGCCCCCTGGTGTCGATTAAAATTGACATCAAAATGCCCTCGGGTTTGCATTGTGAACGTCACATGACCAAACACAGAAAACGAGTGAATGGTGCGTCAGCAAGCTTGGCGTTGATAGAACACATGATTATAAAGACCATTTTTGACTTGGCTTCCCCTTTTAAGCAAGCTTGACTTTGTCAAAGAGTGGCACTCTTGTAAATGTGATGTCCCGCCGTTGATTCAGAAAAATTGCATCACCATCGACAACAACCCAGACTAAACTTAGCCCCTCCCCGACATGCAAAGCTTGTCTCTCAGTCGAGATTTCTCACTTCACCCTACTTCCCCTTGGAGCAATTTACTGTATGACTTTCCTGTTTAAATGGGGCCTTGACCCCATTTTGTAGTGTTGTCAGGAATTTCAGGAATAGGCTAAAACTAACAACTGGGAGCAGAAAAAAGACGTCAAGAGGTGAATTTGTTACTCGTTGGCTGGCATCATGTAGGGGATTACTTTGGGTGATTTTTTTTTTTTCTTAGGCATTTTCTGCACCCCGCCCCACAAATACAATAATCCAGAAAGTATATACTGTGTTGTATATTTATTTTCAGGGCAGCACGATGTGGTAGTGTTTGAGTCTCAGCCCCGGCTTTCCAATGTGATGATTGCATGTTCTGTCTTTTTTTTCCCCTCTTCAGATCGTCAGACTTTCTCCCACATTCCCAAAATGTGCGTGTTAGATTAATAGAAGACTCCAAAAGTCTCAGTTCGGTATCCAATCTTATTTGTGTAAACAGGAACAGATATTGACATTACAAATGAAACGTTACTGCTTATTTTTATTTATTTATTTGTCTATTTATTTATTTATTTGAGGCAAGTGAAACATCAGTAGCTTGTCTTAGTAATTGAAGACTGTAGACAGGTGCGGACACGAACAGTTTTAACAGGGTGATTTATGACTTAAAAACAGTCATAATGGCATCTGAAGGGCTGCTTAAATGCCACTGGAAGTTATTTTTGAAGTTTTTTTTTTCTTTCCTTCACTGATATCGACTTTCACATATTGTTGATTCAAATGACTGAACGAGTTTGAGCTGGCGGCAAAAGCAATTCACCGTTGAGACAAGACATTGAGCACATTTTCACCAGCTGAGATAAGCTACATTTCTGTAAATAGTGGAACGGTGAAAATATTTAATGTTGTGAAGAAAATTCCAAGTGTTTATGATTGTTTTTTATTCATTCACCTGTAAAATGATTTTCAGTTCAAGTAAACTACCTCAGTGATTTTTTTTTTCAACCTCTCTTACATTCGGTTGCTAGTCACTATGTCACTAGGCTTCTGCATCTGCTGTGTAATTCTGCATTTAAATTTTGTTGAATTATCACCATACACAATTCAGTTACAGTCCATCACTGAATATGTTAAAGTCAAAGTTGCAAGAAATAAAATGCAGAGCCAAAGCAGTAATTTATTGTTTTGGAATACTGTCGTGAATTTCAATGTGTGGTGGGAGAATGTGGTTTCGCTCTCGTGGTTTATGAAAGAATTACCGTACAAGTACTGTGGAGTTCAGTCGTATTTAACTTCTTTTAATATATTTGCAGTTTGTACATTTTAAATACTGTTTGAGAAATTTCATTTAAATGGAAAACTTCATCAGATTTTGAAGTACTATAGTTACATAAAAGTAATTATTGTTTCAAGAACTCAATCTGTCATGTGTATTGCCTTCTTCGAGACTACCGTATTGATGAAATTCCACCTTTTGGCTATTTAAATAGTAGCAGGCGTTGTTTTTCAATGAGGTTCTCTTTGCTTCTTTTTCTAACGTGGAAATTCAACAGAGGTCTAGCAGTAATGACGTTGAATATCATTTATAATTTATGAATACAATTATTTCAATATTTCTAAAGATATAGCTCTTGACGGGTTTACCTGCTCCTGTTTCAAATTCAGAATTCATTCGATGAAATGTCGCCATCTAGTGGGCTTTTAAACCAGTTACAACTATTTGTTTCCCAAGGTTTACTTTCTTATTCCGTATTACTGTACTTGAGATTAAAGAGTTGCAAAAAGAAAAAAACTGTACAAAACATTTGAATGCAATCCCCTCAATTCTGTTACACCTGCTGGACGGCTTCCGCCATTTAGGCACGTGATTAAACCTCGAGCTATAATTGGTCCAGATGCACCTTTCGTTTGATGGCACCTTTCAGATTTTTGGGCAGGAAATTTAATTCCACTCCGTGGTCGACTCAAAGTGTCATATTTCACAGTTAACCCGTTTCAGAGTTCACCGAAAGATGGCGGATGAATTTTTGGCATAATGAACGCGGTGGTCTTCGATGAATGACGTCAAGTGTGAGTTTCTGCGTTCTGCAGTAAGGTAAGAATGTAATGCAGCAATAGTTTGTGTTGGCAGCCGTATTATCTGTTTCACAATATCGATGTACTCATCCTTTTTTTGTGACAGTATTTCAAAAAATTAATTTTTTACCACCGCTTCTGTTGTTTTTCTTGTTTTAAAGTGTGTTATTTCGTGGGCCCGAGATGTTTTGTTTATACTAAGACTGAACTGGGTTTGGATTCATGAATCTAGGTAATTTTCCATCATTAGATAGGACTACAACTGCACAATATAATGCGGCAAGCTTTTTACACGAACTACCACATAAAGTACGTAGCACTAGAAAGTACCACCATAATGTTTAATATTAAAATACCATGGGGTCGTTGAGCCAAGTGCTCATCAAAAACATGGCAAAGGTTATAGTTTAAAAACGACAAAAAAAAGAACACATTTCTGCATGGTTTGCATCATTTTCAACGGCCTTTGCTCTAATTATTGCCATCCTTAGATGTAAAACAAAAACAGGGACCGCACCAGGAAGTCCTCTGACCCGAATGCCCCCGCTGGGTGCGTCAGAGTTGTGTGGCTGCATGCATTTTACCACGGCAATAGATCACGACACTAAAGGTGTTAGGATTTGGAAGTCGCACAGTTCATTATGTGAGTTTAAGGGTGCACAGTGACACCTTTGACCTGAATATTTGAGGTTGTGATCCACAGCAGGTGAGGGGCACCACTGGGCCCCCCTCGTTCTTGCTCTGTCGTATTAAGTATTTTTTTTTTCTGCCACCTTCAGACATCTTAAGACATTTCTTAAGACATCTGAAGACAATTCTCAGATTTTCACTCCTTAATTAAGAAGAAGGAGCTTGTGTATTCTTCCTTTGACACAATGTGTCCCGTGAACCCGTACCCCTTAAAATGCATAAAAAGCAAAACTAAAAAGGAGTCTGTTTATGTAATCGAGAAGCTAGAGCTCTCAAAGCCACATCTGAGAAGTCGACTGATGGCTTCACAAGCTTTCCCTGATGATTAGCATTGGCTGGCAAACGCCCAAATCACAACAGCATCCATTGTGGCCCCCCGATAAACTTGCGCCCTCACAGTATGCCGCCTGGCCAACTCTGTCATTTCTCAATGGTAAAGTCACCGCAGTGAGGCAACCGAAGGCCTGGGGGCGAAAGAACAAATGAAGGGCAAGGTATTTAGCTTTTCTCAGGGACCTGGCGTTTTGAAAACCACAGGATTCATAAAGCTGCCGTACATAATTATGCTTTTATAGCTGTAGACACTCTAACCCTGCCTTGTAATTTGATGGTTGCAAACGTAGCAATTTGCACACCCCGGGTTTGATTTGGCTTCCTTTCATTTTCCTGTTTGTTCGAGGCGGTATATTCATATCCTATAACACATTTTGGGTTTATGACTGAAAAAGCGAAATGGTGCGTCATGTTTCCTTCAGAGGGCTGTTGTGACTGTGAAACCAGAAAAATCATCTCATGACGTTATCATACATACTCACTGAATAGATGGTAAGGAAGAAAAATGTTATCACGTATGGCATTTGAAATTTTGATCTTGAAATTTGAGCATGAATTTAACCTGACCTAACCCCCCCCACACACACACACACTCACACACATTGTACCACTTAGGGACATTCTGCTTCCTCTGGATTTGGATATGTAAAAATATGGCATTAAAAAAAAAAAAAGTGGATTAAGTACACTGGGGAGGGGGAGGGGATATTCTTAATAGAATGCAAGCAGTGACTAATGGGTTTCCTTCAAGGTCATCTCTTGAATTTACAGTTGAAAAGATGAGTTTTTGCGGCTGAAGCTGATCAAGGTTAGACAGGCTGTAGAACTTAATGACTCTCGCAGCGTCCCGGGACGGACGAAGATGGATGTTCTCCTCTCTGCAGAGCAGTTTGAGTGCGAGCAGCAAAAATGTGGCAATAATTTACTTGGCCTGCAGTGAGAATATGTCTCACGGAGGTAATGGTGCCCTTAAAGCTGCTCTGGCTGCAGCGGGGAGGAAGCATTCATCAGCCTGCTGTTAATGTGAAATATTGACCACCTTCCCAAGAAGGAAAAAAAAAGGCTCCGTTTATGGTTTTAAAAATCAGTGTTGGTGGGGGGGGGGGGGGGGGGGGGCGTTGAAGCATATCTTAGACCACCGCTGTAATGCTGATTTTAGTACTTCTCTCTTTTTCCCCCCCTGACAATTTATAATGTAATTTCTTGCAACAGTCTTAGGCACCATGAAATGTGTTGACACTAACTCGTTGACAAATGGAGATCATTTGTGGATTGACATATTTGAATTTGTTTGTCCAACAATCTCCGTTTGACAAATGACACAGTGACGCAAATGGTGAAAATATCTACAAGTGATTTTTATTTGATTTTTTTCCCCCCTGATCCTCACAAGAGTCGCAGGGGGTGCTGGAGCCCATCCCATCTGTCTTCGGGTAGTATGCGGAGGACACCCTGAACCAGTTATCAGCCAATTGCAGGGCACACAGAGACAAACAACCATCCACGCTCACACTCACACCTAGGCACAATTTAGAGTGTTCAATCAGCTGGCCGTGGATATTTTTTGGAATGTGGGAGGAAACCGGAGTACCCGGAGAAAACCCACTCTGGCCCGGGGAGAACATGCAAACTCCTCACAGGGAGGCCGCGGCTGGAATTGAACCCAGTAAATCTGCACTGTGAGGTCGACGTGCTTAACCACTGGACCACGGGGCCGCCCAATCATTGAATAGACATAGTTAAGAACTACTTTGTATGTGCAGTATCATGAATAATTGCCCTGGCTCTGTTTTTTAATTCAGCTCACCGAGCATTAACATTCAGAACCCACAAGTATTTGTTGGATTAATTTAGCGGTTGCATTAATTTAGATATTGGCTCAATAAAATGTGATTATTCTTTTCAATTGTTTAACTTACTGTATTAAATAAATCAACAGGTTTATAAAAAAAAAAAAAAAAAGTTCATCGCGTAATACTCATTTTGACAGTTTCCCCGTTTTGTGAATGTTAAAATACCGATCTTTACCAGCAGAGGGCGCCATGTATCTTCAACTGAGACTACCCCAGCTTTCAATGTCATCAGATTCAATGTTGCTGTTGCTGAAGGAGTGAAAGAGTTTTAATCTTTGCATTGGAATCTTTTAAATGTGACGCAAATTCACACTTCAAGCCTACTCTTGGTTATACAGGGAGGAAACAAAGAAAGCTGTTGACTCGTGACCAATTAATGGCGAAAAAGACGTTGAAAAGGCCTTTCGTTGCAAAAAGGACGTTTTCCAATATATCTCTTTCCTGTGGTGAATTGACACCGTACATGATACAAATATAAACGTGATCACGATGGCACATTTAGTCAGATGGTTGTTTTAAAGTGAACTCTATAAATACAGTTGAGTTGAGATGCATCTTTTTTGCAGTTGACATGGGCCTTTCTCAGTTCTGTGGCTGGCCTCTCCCCAGCACAGATTGTAAAAAGCAGCTGGGAGGAAGATGAGCTCGTCAATCTTCCTCATCCAGTGACGTTGTTGGCTCACTGACCCAGTGACACTACTTCAAAAGAGACCCCAACCTTCCACCGCCACCCACCCCCTGTCTTCAAATGAACTTTACTGAGACATTCTCAGCTGGGCTCACTGGGCCAAATGCACGTGTGCTTTTAAAAAAAAAAAAAAAAAAATTCAGAAGATACTTAAGCTCCCACATTCCAAACACGTATATGTTTGGGTCAATGATGACTTGAAACTGTCCTTGATTAGTTGGACCAGTCCAGGGTGTTCCCTGCCTGTCGTCTAAAGTCACCTGGGAGTGGCTTTAGACGACAACAACAAATTTCCAGCGTATAATTGCAAATAATCTTTTATAGCATTATTCTCTTGATCCATGTTTGTTGTAATAGAGCACTGGTTTAGGTTCAACTTTAGCCGGCCGCCACTTTCTTCCTTCTCCATCGCTTATTCAGTTGTCTTTCCGCGTCACCGACTAAGCAAACAGATGCATGTGCGCAAGCAATCATGCATCTTCACATTCTTGCGAGACAGCTCGGGGAGCTCTGGGACAAGCGCAGTTGTGCCTTCATCTGTCCACCCTGTTCGGCATTCTCCGCATATCTGGCAGGGGCTTCAGCCGCGACCACGCTGTGAAGCGAGAGGAGGCAAAGTGGGCCCCAAGATGGTAGCAAGCTTGTGATTCGAGCGTATTTTTGGAATTGGTCTGAAGTGTCATTTTATGTGTTTTATTTGCGTTTGCTAATATTTCGTCCTGCAGCGGTGTCTGTCCAGGCTGTTACAATTCAGCCTGTTCAAGATGAAAGAGGTTTTGTCATCTCAGCCTGATGCAAGTACAAGTGTGTAACAGATTCCAGCTTGAGCTGCCCAATTAGATGTTCGTAAAACCTCACTCCTCTGAGCTCTCGGATGGTGCTGGCCTTTTATAAGCTTTTAGCTCAGCAGTTGGCGCGGTCCGCTTCCCAGGTTTGAACCCCGAGTTGGTGGATGGCGCGTGAACACCAACAGTTAGACATGTGCCCTTTTTTCTTATGATGATGAGTGATAGAGCAAATGGCATTAAAGGGTGTGTGAAAATAGGATGCGAGTAGAAAGTCAAGCAGCGCGTTTGAGCCGATCCCACGCCGGACACCCGCAGGAAGCCGCAATTTTGCAGCCCCCGCTTTCCTTCCCATTGTCTTTTTTTTTTTTTTTTTTAGCCTTTGACCCCTGCGCTCCCTCACCTTGCAGCCGTGAAACGTCAGACACCCGCCTATCTCCATCCACGTTCCTCCCCCACAGCAGTATTCATTGCTTTTCCAGTTGTCTTCTCGTTGTTAGAAATCAGGATGTAGTGTGCGTGAGCGCCTGCGCGTGCGCGCGTCTGTGCATCTGCCCTACATGAGGCGTGCAAAGACAACAGACAAGTAATGGGAGAAGTGTGTAGGCGTGTGCAGACGACAAAGGCAGCTGGATGCCTTCGTCAGCTAAATCCCATCTGAATGAATTTT